CGGCCGCCGGGGGCCCAGGCGCCCGCCGGGGCCGCGCTCACGGCTCTGTTTGCTCCCCAGTGGCGCGGCATGTGCGGGAGCTCCTGGAGAGGACCGCTAAGAAGAAGGCCAAGTTGAGAAAGAAACCCAAGCCCTATGTTGAGGAGCCAGATGGTAGGGCCCGCAGCCGCCCGCCCGCCCGCCGGCCCGCTCCTGCCGGCCTCCTCTAACTGCTTCTGGGCTGCGGGCGGGCGGGCACTAACCTGGGCTCGCCGGGGCACCTGCCCGCCTTCTCTGCAGACCTCCGTGCCTGGCCTGTCTGCGGGCCTTGGGGGGCGGGGGCCTTGGCGGGGGGGGTCCCCAGCCTGGCCCGGCAGGGCCTTCGGAGCCAGGACGCCCCCACGGGGTGCCCGAGGCCGCAGGGCCGCCCTGGCAGCGGCAGGTGGCTGCACACGCCAGGCCGCGGCCAGCCCCCGCACAAGCTGCGCGCTGACCCACTGGCGGCCCCAGGGAGCCAGGAGGCCCAGCTGCCCCTCGGCCCGGCCCCTCACCCTCAGCACCGTCCTCTCTCCTGAACAAAGCGCCTCTGTGCTCTGGCAGTCCCGGGACGAGGATGGGGCCTCCCTGGGGCGCGGGCCCAGCAGAGGCCCAGGGAAAGCGAGACCGGCGCCCGGGAGGCCGGGCTGGGCCGTCCCGGCTGCTCAGCGCCCGGAGGCCGCCGGCCCTTGTCCCCTGTGGCTGCCAGCGAGAGCTGCTCGGGCCGGGGGCTTGAGGGGGCCCCGAGAAAGGGGACTGCACCCCCTTGCCTGTGCTCTTCGACCCTTTGGGCCAGCAGAGTCCCCACAGCACGGCAGCCGTGGGCAGCGGCCACTGGACGCCTGGCCTCCCCTGGCTGAGGTCCCCGCTGGGCAGGGCTGGGCCTGCTTCCCAGTCACTGCCCCGCCGCCGGCCAGCACAAGTGACCCTCTCGGAGCTTCCCAGGGCCGGCTGGGGAGGGGACCCGGGTTCCTTGACTCTGGGGCACTGGCCTGTCCGGCTGGTTGTGTCCCCGCTCCAGGCGGCGCGGGCCTGACCTGGGCAGGGGGTGCAGGCAGGGGCTCAGCCAGGCCCCAAAGATGCCCAGGCCCGGCACAGCTGCCGCTGCACCCCTGCAGGCTCCGCCATGCTGGCCGGCCTCCGCGCCCTGCCGATGGCTGCCCTTCTCTTCCAGGGGTGGCGATAAGCACCTACGCCAAGTACTGCTACCACAAGCTGCAGAAGGCAGCCCTGACCGGGGCCAAGAAGGTACGCGCTGCCCCGGCATGCCGGCCGGGACGGGGCGCCCACACCCGGGCACTGCGCCAGGCTCAGGCAGTGGGGTGAACCGGACCAGCCCAGGCCAGGCCCCCCGCCCCCGCGGGCACCCAAGGCCTCCCGGCCGGATTGCCACACACACAGCAGCAGGCTGCCGGCCCTGGCCCTCGGCTGTGGCCCGGGCCCCCCAAGGCCAGCCTCCGGCACCTGACCTCGTGGGCCTCCACCCCCAGCCAGTGCACGCCCGCCTTCCTCCAGCTGCCCTGCTGCAGCAGGGCCCCGGGCGCCAGCTGTCCCGCCCTGCCCGCCTGGCCCTGTCGCCACACAGCTCCAGCCTGGGCTGTCCAGGGATCTACCTCCCGCCCAGCTAAGCAGCTGGGGTCCTGGGCTCAACCAGAAAAGCCTGGCCCTCACTGGACAAGAGGATGGAAGGCAAAGGCCCAGTCCTGTAGGGGGCAGGAGCAGCCTTGGGGGTGCTGGGGCGCTGGGGGCAG